CTGCGGGAGTCATAGCGAAGCCAGATGCCAAAGTTCTTCACCCGCAGAGGGGACTTCTCTAGGTGAGAAGGGTGGTGGAGGAGGAAGGGTAGAGAGCCTTGCGTCCTGTTTTGTTAGCCAAGTTGTGCAGGGATTTTTTTTTTTTTTTGGGGGGTGTTCAACTCTGCCCTCCCTTGCCTTTCCCCACCATTAGCACCCTGCCCAAGAGCTTTACACACAGGCCATGAAAAGCAGCAGCACAGGGTGAACTCCTGGAGACCCCAGTGCAGGGGGCTCTACTCTCAACCAGCAAGCTCTTCAACCCCCACACACAACGGCAAGCCGGCCTCTGGTTGGGTTAAGTGCTTGGCTATGTACGAGTCAAAAGGTTGATAGTTGGAAGCCACCCACAGGCACCTTGAACGTATGGGCTGGCGATCTGCTCCCAAGACAAAAGAGTCATGAAACGTCTACAGAGTGGTTACACGCTATGCCGATTAAGGAGCTGAGGGTAGGTCCACCCTGCTCCTCGCAGTAATCACTGGCACCGTCACTTCGGAGCTCCTTGGCTTGACCACCCCCAACTTCCAGCCTCTGTCCTTCCTCTGAGGCCTACAGGCAGGAGGGGGCAACGCTGGGCCTCCCAGCACGATCCACCCGGCCAGAAACCTAGGGACGCTCCCAGCACTGCTGCCGGGCTCCCCGAGTGCGAGTCCGTTTCCGAGCCCACTGCAGGCGGTCGGATCTGTCACGGCCGAGGGCTTAAACGAAAGGCAGACATTTTCGTTTGAAAGCTGTCTCCGTCGGCGAGCTACTGAGCTCTCATTAGTAAAAGAAAGAGGAGTCACAGACAACAGACTCTGCAGCCGCTTCCGGCTCTGACCCGGCGGCCCCGCTTCTCCCGGGGGCTGCCTTCCACCTTCCTCCACTCGATGCCGGCTCTCCAGGCGGGGAAACCGGCTCGGAGGCCCACGAAGGGCGCAACGCACGCTCTCCAACCACGCAGCGTGGCCCTGCCTCCGGCGCGGGCACCCGACCTCCTCAGACCCCGAGTCCAGGCCGGCTCTCTCACGCGGACCTCCCCACGCGGCGCCGCCGCCATGTTGGCGGAGCCCGGATGAGGGTGGCGTGCGGCCGCAGGCGTCCAGGAAGGAGCGAGGGCACCAATCTGACCTGCCAGGTCCTCCCTGGTACCTCGAGCGCGCCCGCGCCCCATCCCACGGTGCTGGGACCCGTCGCTCCCGGCCTACCGTGCCCGAGGCCTTCATGGCCGACCTTCCGCGCCCGTCCCGAGCCGCAAAAGGAAGGGCGCGTCCTTGCGCAGCCGCTCACCACGATTTCGATGCCGGAAGTCCCGCCCTCCGACGACGGCGCGTCTATTGGTCCGTCGGCCCCACGCTCACCCAGATCCGCTTCGTCATTGGTCCCGGGTCCCTCGGTAAGCGGGAGACGCACGGGCGTGCCTTTACGCGCAGCGAGACTACATCTCCCAGGAGGTAGCGCAGAGAGTTCCTCCCCCTCGTCTACCCAATGCGATCTTGGAGAGTCGGCGCGCGCGGCACTCTGGGAGTTGTAGGCGCTCCGGGGTTTCCTTCGGGTTGGCTTTGAAGTTGCGTTTCTTCCCTGGGACGCTAATGATATTAACCGGACTAGGGGGTCCTAAGAACTTGTTTAGAGATCCTGGCGAGTCGTCCCCTCTCGGAACATCTTCTCCCAGGAAGGATCAAAAGTCCTGAGCAACAGATCTAATAGTTCTCATCTGTAAAATGGGAATCATATTCGTATTTTCACTGGTGGTGTAGCGATCACGCAGGCGAAAGATGGTGGTGGTTGTGTAAGAAGTGCATTCATTGGGCAGAAATCAAACCCAGGTCTCCCTCATTCAGACTCACTGCCATCGAGTCAATTCTGTCTCATAGCAACCCGACGGAGGCCGACTACATGTGCTCCCTCAGGGTTTGCGAGACTGTAACCCTTAAATGCATTCAGTTGATTCAGACTCCTCCTCCTCAGGAGTCGATCTGATAATAGA